AATTGTATTCTATCTGTTTGATTGATTATTTGCTCTGTTTGTGTTTTATGTTTAAACTGCTAATTGAAGGCCTTATCGGCGTCCGAATCCGGAATTGATTGAAGTTTTATGATCATCATAATTTGTGTGATTTTATGGTGTAATTATCTGAAAAATGATTAGGTATGATTAAATTAGATTAAACATTGATCAATTGCAAACTTTGACTTATTTACCAAACTTGCCACTAAGTGGGCCACTATCTCACACATTGAGCCTTACACTTGATCATAACATAATTCCCTCAACCCTTTTCTTGAGCCTTGCCGACCTAGAGAGTAGAGAGGGAGAGAAATTGGTTTTTCACCTTGAATTGCTTGGAAACTTGAAGAATTGCTTGGTAATTGAAGTGTAGATTGCTAAATTGAACCTCTAGACTTGCATTCAAGGAACCTAGGTAAGGATTTCATCTTCTCATTCTTGTGTTTGAGCTAAGTCTTGCATGGTCCATGATAAATTGTAGAGCTAAGCCATGTTTTGGTTCATACATGTTGACATAGAGCATAATTCATGCATGCATGTTTGAATTGTTGGATTTTGAGTTGAGTTCATGGCAAATTGTTGCATGCATGTCCATGTTTTGAGTGTAGGCCATGATTTCATCATGTTTTGGAAATAATTGGCTCTTTAGAGCATCAAATTGAAGCTTTAAATTGGTTTGAATTCATGCTTGTTTGCATGTTCATCTTGTTCTTGAAATTGATTTGAAATTGAGTTTGAATTAAACACCCTTGGGCTTTGATTCCTCAAATTGAGCTTTGAACCATGTTATTCTATGTGTTTATAAACGTTTTCCAGAAAAATGGGCCCAAGAGGATTGGTTTTGATGCATTTGAACTTGGTTTTGAGCTTGGAGGTGCAATCTGAAATTTCCAGATTCTGCACTTCCGCTCGAGCGGGGAAAGTAACGCTCGAGCGTGAAATCCGAGCATCCAGCATCTCTACACTGTTTTACTATCCGCTCGAGCGGAGGACTGGGCGCTCGAGCGGAGTCTTGTGTCTCAAG